ATAAAGCCAATTTATTGTTTATCCAGTTCCAGCTAGACTACTTTCTTCATTGGCAATTTGCTGGAAATAAGAGGGATAAATGGGTATCATGTTAGACAATTCAAATAGGAACAATTTCTGATTTTATTACTGCTACACAATTTTCTAAATTTCTTGAATTCTCATGCTGTCTCAAATTTCCGAATTCACAATAAAACAATGAATCATCTCAAAATCAAATATAATATAACAAATAATTAGAGAACTCATTTTTTTGTGTTGCAGGCTGGCAGCTTTATTGAATAGTTGAACAGCCTGCAATATCATTCATTGGACACCTACTCGAAATTTGGGACCACATGACATTTTTATTTGAGAGTGGACTATTAAAAAAACAAGCCAAGTTGACATTTCAAATCATAAACAATCAAATGTTGGTCGGGGAGTGATTAAAAAGGCAGTGGCAGCAAGTGTCTTGCATAGAACGCTTAAGAGTAGCTCATTCACATCTAGCATGTGACTGTACAAACAAACTCCACATTCTCATTATTTGACAAATTACAATTAAATTGTCAAATTTAATATTGTAAATTCATTGCCATACCTGCCAAAATCATACACCTAACACCATACAACTGGATAAATTTATTAGTTTAAAATGCTCATCCAAGATATTGTCAAAGAACTGAGGCATTTTAAAGCCATGCCAGGTATGCCCTTTTCTAAGCAGCACATAATTATATATACTTACTCACTTCTGTGAAATTGTGTCAGGGAGGTTACTTTTCATGAATAATTTTAACTATCCATCAATAACTAGAAGATATATGCATCAAATTGGCTAAAGCATGAAACTATGACTATGTTTCATATGAGATTAGAAAAATATTATAAGGAGATAACATAAATTATTATATTATATAAAAAGATGAGAATAATCCTATGAATTTTATTAAAAATGTCAATAAAACAGTTCATTGGTATCTAACAGCTTTTTATATTCATACTACTATTGCTCATTAAAATTTCATTTTTAGAAAGAAATTGTACAAATAGACAACATTCTGTATCATAACGGAGAATTTGCTTGATCGCTGTTTAATTGGAAAGTTTTTAGAAAATTGACCAGTGAAAAATCACCATATTAACTCTTCACTGCTAACCGATGTCGATTACACTGCTATAGTGGTTATGTAGGCAATCGAATGTTCTCAATGGCTGTAAATGCTTACCAATAATAGAGCTTACCAATATAATATATTAGTAGCAATAAATGCTTAGGAATACAATAGAGTGGTAATCCTTTATCAGTTAATTCAATACAAGCGAAAATTAATACCATCACGGTTATAATTTTCGTCCATTTTCCAATGCCTTGGTAAATTTCGATGTGGCAGCGTTCCTTATAGCAGAGAATACACAACACTGATATTGTTTGGTTTCACAACGCTAATATTGTTACCATTAGTTGAATATCGATATAGACTTTTTGCATTATTTCTTCGGATGTGAAGGGAAAATGCTTTTCCACGAAATTCATTACACACGATTCTGAATTTCCTTAGATACGAGAAGCATAAGTCGCTCAATGTCTTTGTCCATAACTATCATTTAGTGCATATTTAAGTTAACGGAGAGGGAAGGAGAGTGACGTCTCCTTAGGGAGGGCGATTTTTTTTAATCACGTAATCAGACTCGGCCAGAGCTTCACCGGAAACGGGGACGACCCTAATACGTACCGCTCAACGATCGCCAGAATAAGGACCAGGCTGTGGTAGCTGTCTGATTCGGGGACCGGAATGAAGACCAAATAGCGGACATAGAGAAGCTGATGGACTATGCTCCCCGATTCCTACGCCTTCCCTAATCTAGAGCCGCCCTCGGCTCTAAATTTTGTTAGGGATGGCGCATTATGATGGACGATACATAAAAGTCCCCCAAAATGATACGTTGTGTCATAAGACAGCTTAACAGTTTCCCCGGCTTGGATTATCTTGATTAGTTCCTTGATCAAGGTTGGGCTGCTCATCCCAATATTTAGACTGGGAGCAAGATGTATGAAATGGATATTATCTGACCCCAATTCCTGGAATAACTCGTAAGCGGTTGAAACACAATCAGTGTTTTGTGCAAGCTTCTTCCTGATAATATGTTGCTTGTTCTGCAGTTGTTTGGTGTTCCTCGGCAGGGCACTAGGAAATTTTCTTGGGGAATTTTGCTTTTAGCAACAAGGTTTCTGTAGAGCGAGGCAGGTTTTTTAGACAAATCTTCAGCAGCTCGCAGGACTGAAGGCATTGTTCGAATGTGCAGGTCTTTTCCACATTGATTTTGATTTTCTTCTTGTCCCAAATAGTGTACCCAAACTTTTTTTCTTATGTTACGGGTCAATACTATATGCATAACGCCAAAATTCTAGTAGTGTTTGATCTTCCATTTGCTGATAGTAATATTTTTGGACTTCGATCTGGATTTCCCTTGAGTACAAAACGGCTTCTGTTCCTCCACTTAATGGGGAGCGTCCACCCCAAAATCTATCTCGGTTATTTACAGACGGATCACTCTGAAACTTGGGACACGTGTGTAAAACAGAAATCTAAGACTTTTCTGTTCGTGTATATTTTTCGAAAAAAAAGATGAAACAAAACGTTAAATTCTTAGAAAACAACCAAAAAAGGGGGTACTGTAGAAATCTATATTGTCCTAGGATTTCTAGGCTACAACATCAAAACACATATCATTCAATGCGTAAAGACCATATCTATGAAAGTATGTATGAATTTTTTGAAATTCCGATTTTAGTGTATGTAGGTGCATTTTTCGGAAATTTTTCGAACATTTTTCGATTTCTGCCCTTTTGGCAGAATAAAATCCAAACTGTAACGAAATCAGAAAAACCCATACATAATTTTGTAGATATTTTCTTTGAAAATCGTATGGTCTATGTCTCATTGTTGTAGCTTCAAAACTCTAGGANTGTCAATGAAATATTTTTCTTCACGTCAGTGATAGATTTTTTTAAGCCAAGAGTATATTTTTTCAAGGATATGATTTTTTGAGTTGTTAATAAATGAATGAATGTCATATTTTTTATTGCTTTTTCTTATTTTTAACTGTAAAATGTTATTTTATCATTTTTAAACGAAAAATATGCAAATGTGTTAAAGGGACCAAGGGTGTGTTAAAGGGACCTTGCCCCAATTCCATGGGCCCATTGCCCCAGGAATGGGGCAATGGGCCCATTTTGACACTTTTTACAAATAGTGTTTCATTACAAATTGAATAACTCTATAGGCGTCTAATTCACATCATACATTTCTCATTAGTTGTACCTTTAAACAAAACAAAGTACCACCTCGTATCAATTAAAACTTCATCAAAAATTTAGTTTAAAAAAAGTGGGGGGCGCGCTGCCCCATCCCAGTTAAAAATCCAAGGCGTATTGCCGGCGTGTTTGGGTAGATTAAGGTAGAGACGCTCGGTTGAGGCGCCCGAGTAACATCTCCGCATCATCGCCGAAGTGTCCACTTTTTATGTTCTTCGTTCTTAAACGGCACGCGGCCGCGGCGCGTTTCATAGACTGACCGAGCGCGGCAGCGCCTCTATCATATGCGCAACGTGCATGAAACTCCGGCGCAACTTACATGGCCGCCTCCAACTATTTATTTAAAAAAAACTCGGTGGTATATCGCCGAGATTATTGACTCTGCACTACCATACTGGATATGCGTACACATTCATGTGAACGTGCATGCATTTCCAGCATCACAGTACAAGCAAAGAATCTCGGGATATACAGCCGAGGACATATTACAATTATCGAATACTAATTCTCCTACAAAATCAACAATATTAAGGTTTTGAATGCAATGAAACGATTGGCAACTGGGAAAATATATTGAAAAAAAAACATTTAATGAAGATCACAGCATCTAAGGGGTAACCGCCATGCCAAAGTTTTATTTAAACTAGGCTCTCAGGTCTCAGATTTACGGGGACCAATCAACACTTGGCGGGAATTGACCATCAAGTAATGTTGTCGGGTACGTGTGTGAACGTGTCAAATGGTGATAGGTGCGGTGTTGAAGGTGTGAATACTCGTATCTAAAAATTTAGTTTATGTTCATCACTTCATGATACTTTTTTTAATTGAGATTGTTTGTTCTGAGCTGCTTCCTATTCATTGGTTACAGCACTGAGATTGTCTGACGTTCGCTAGCAGAAGTTTAATGTTCCAAACTTGCACCCGAGCAGGGCCAGATGTGTCATAATTATTATTGCACCTGATTCTCTTTTATGAATGCCTAAGATTTTGTTACTTATTTCAGACGGCCTGCGTGAATCTTACTGTAAAGTATTTATTAAATATTGTTCCCACTATGCTAATCAGCAGTTGTTGTGTTTCTGAATGTAATTAAGCCGATCTATTCTGTTCTATATAGGCAGGTCTGAAATGTCTCTACTATTAATAATTTAATGTAGTATTGTAACAACCGGTGACTGCTAGCCAATTGTATGGGATGGTGGTAATTAACCACTTAATAGCGCCGACGGTTACGATCCCATTTTACGCGCTATTTAATGTATTCAGTGAATGTTGGAAACGTGTAAAATAGTCGCGATATTTGACGTATTTTATACATGACTATTAAGACAAACAAGCATAAGCAAACTCGTTAGTCTGAAATTAACGCGTGATTTTCCTTTCTCATTGTCTTATATATATAAATTGACAGAAATTGATATAATTGTCGGCATTGTTCAGAAGTGTGAAACAATTTCCTTCATTTCATCCTTTAGTTGCTAAATTAAAAGCATATTTTATATATGTTTATATATCTGCCAATCAGCCCGGTTAGTCGGCTTGTCGGTTCACGCAATGCAGTATTTTGTAATTTGAATACCCGTTCCTGTTCTTGGGAATGCTTGATGTTCAGAATAGCCCATAGTATTACTTGAAATTATGCTAGGCAAGTCCTTAAACCCGTAATGGAAATTTAAAAAAATATCTAAATTTAACTCACTTCTCTACTTCCACTTTAACGCTTCCCGGCCATCTCAGCTCAAAACTTTGCTGCAGTTCTTGAACAATGGAGTCGACAGTTTGATTCCTAACGGCCTCGTTCTTTATCACCGATGTGAAGTTCACGCGTAGAATAGCGTTGTATGAATCTGGCAGGAGGCATAATGCAAGTTGAAATTAGCAGTGTGTAAAGGCATGTTTACATGATTTAACTTTCTGTTTACTGACGGGAACTCTGGTTACCAAGCCTGTAGAATTCAATGTCATTAAGATGGAATTAGTGCCTAGAAAAAATGTGGTATGAGGACATATCTAGTTTTCGAAGGTTTTTCACTGAAATTCATGAGCCAGGATTTCAAAAAGATACAATGGCTAATTTGAACGCCTCTGTTCATCCTCTGCCCACTTAAAGCACTACGCACTCGTTTTTCGGAATTAAAATTAGTCTCATTGCAAAAAACACTCACTAGAACTAGCAGCTCGCTTTTCTCGAACCAGTGCCGAAATGTGCAGATTTTGAAAGCCGAACACGTCCTGTCCAGGACAAAGTAAATTAAATATTACATCATACAGAACAATGAGCGTGCACCGGAATTTGATAAAAATTATCTTAATCAGTTGGAGCAGTTCTAATTTGAATAATAGCTTGGAAGAAGACAAGTGGTCTATACAATAATGATGTTGAATAATAGACTGCAAGTCGACTAAATTATGATTGTATTATTAGGTTATTGTGCTGTAAAAAGATCTTACATCAACGCTCCAGAAGGCTGAGGCTGTGCCAGACTGCAGAACCAGGCACAGCAGCGCCAGCAGAGCAGCGCCCCTAATGGTCCCGCTGGGCGTCATCTTTGAGCCTGAAAAAAATTGTCGTCGAGCACACAGAGAATTTCACTTCTATCGACCATTCTTCAAAAATATAATAAATATCTTTTTTGGACATGTTGCCTGAACTTTAAATGACATTTGTTTGGTTTGCAATAAGTGATAAATCAGAAATAATAAATATAGTCCTTTCGTTTGAGTTACCGAACAAGAGGTTGAACAATTGGAACGAGCTATACGACGTGAAGTCGTTAGTAGACCAACTGCATCAACCCTGCCTGTTGTATTCATATTTTTCAGGATTCAAAAAGTTGTAGATGATTGAAAAACAATAATTTCATATATTTATTTATCGCAATCCATCATATTTTTCACTGACAAACGTAACTCAAATTAAGTTGAGATGAGCCGGATAGTGCAAAGGGTGTTTGGCCACTGAGACATTTAAAATTTTGCGGCTGTAGATTTTAAATCAACATTACCCATGAAGTTCCTGAGCAACTGTGAAACTATGTCAGGCTATCCCATGCAGTCTTGATGCCGAATTCATTTAATTATTTACATTTGTGTTAGAGTTCAGAAATGATATGAAAGAGTGGGAATATCTGTGGATATTCTGTGGGCCCAATTCCTGGAAGAAAACTTCAATAGTGTGGGAAAATTTAAAGAATGCACATGAATTAAGCAGATTGACGTAGCCACTTTGAATGAATCAGCATAATCAAATAATTCCAATTTATAATCGTATTAGAAGCTTTTTAACTTTTAAGCTTCTATAAACCTGACCAACGTACACTTTTTCGTTGCATATACAATTTTTTGACTGTTTAATATCTAATTCTTAGGAATTAAAGATCTCACAAGTTAAATGATGTTTTAAAATCTAGTAAAGATGCAAAAATATGTGAAGTGGGAATCCAATTTTCAATTGAATTTGGCATACCGATTATTCTAGCTTTGAAAATATCCTTTGCTGTGCACGAAATCTGAGTAGACAACTTCAACGTCAGGTGATGGTGTATCACTGAAGGTGCGCTTCCAATACGAACGTGACATGAATCATAGACATAGTTCATAAGGCCTTGATAACGACTGAGCTTCTTATCTTATCTTAATCCGTCAGATATTGAGAGATTTCGTACGTCTGAGTAGGTTCCTGTAAAAAATCATCTTTACTAAGATATTTCCAGTTGGAAGTTTATTGTTTGGGTTTGAGTTAGTTGTGATTTTATTTGGCCGGCTACAGTTTCCCAACATTTCTTACAATAGTGTGGGCAAGCTTCCGCATTTCTTCTCATGCTCTTTTGAAGATAGAAGCTAACTCAAACCTCTAGTCAGATTCAAAAACAGCGCAGCAGACAGATTCTTTACGACTGCCAACGACGCCACACCTTCATTTTCGTCCGCTTCATCGTCACTATGGAGTGAGACCCCTAGCGTGCGTCTTGTCTGAGTCTTACTCTGAGATGGTGGCCTTGAGATGTGGGGACGATCTGGGGACTTCGGCATCAGCTCGTCTTCTCACGGAGGACGGGTTTCTGCGAGAGCTGAGGAGAGGACCGGATGCTGCAGGTTGGTTGCTCGTCACAAATTTTTGATTTGCCCGAAGCTCGGCTAGTCGCTACCCTCGAGCTTGTACTCTTTGTAATATGATATCCTAGCCAGCCAATTTCTCGCGGCAACTGGTCGCTTTCAGGTGGCCGAGGAATGGCCAGCTGTAGGCTATAACTAATTGGACTAGGCCGACCACTGGTCACGTATTATTCCTCGCCCCTCATTGAGTTCGCCTTCACCACGCTGCCCGTTGTGAACTGACAGTTCTGTAATTTACGACGTCTCTTCCCCTCGTGTATTCCACAACGTCTGCATTTGAGCAGTTAGTATGCGGTATTTCCCCTCCGCATATCAGCAGGCTCGATCATAACTATTTTTTGGTAGATAATCTCTACAACAAGGAGGCTGATCATGGAATACCGAGTATACCATTCAATGGAGAATTAAAATTACAACCCGTTTACATCTCGAAAAAAGTGAAAAAGTCGCAGACTTGGTGAACAATAATATTCAAAGTTTCATTAAAATTCCTTTCATTATAACTCTTTCAAAACAAATTTTACATATTTTTTGTTCCTGGCCACCGTTTATAAATAAATAACTGGGTAAACATGGAAAAATCCATATCGCCATCTTATTTAAGAGTGCAATAAAGTTCAGCCTAATTTGTGAAGAAACTCATAGGGAAGAGCCGAGCCTGTTCGAGGCCTCGCGGTTCTCAATCAGAGCCTTAAGCTCAGGGTGTTGTGGTAACTTGTAGCTCCGGCCGGTTTCCATTATGGTTAACCGTCTCCCCTTCACTACTCTCAACCCAAATAATAAAATTCGTCTTGTCTTCCTGCTGAATATATATATTCATTAGAAAGCCAATTAGTTCTATAAATCTCTTATTTTAAGATTACCATTTAAATTTCAAGACATAGCTGTTAGGTTCGTAAATTTAAGCATATGATATTTTGAACCCTAACATTCAGCTTGTTCTAATTTTCTCCTTTGGTTTTCGTTACATTAAAATCAGTTGGCATTTATTTTGACAGGATGGACTGCACGGAAGTCAGCGCGTCAGTTTCCCTGTGCTACCTGGCTGGTTTACCCTAGCCAGGTGAAGCTCCTGCTCCCGATTCAGAGGACTTCCACCGGGCAGCAGCTCGCGCCAATCGTCTATATTCCATTTTTTGTGTTTCCTCGACAGCAATTCGATTCAATAAATTCAGTTTAATTGCGTGGTTTTTCTTTACTTTTTAGCGTATTTTCTCATTTTTCGATGAAATTAATATTTTCAATACTTCAGTTAAATCTTTTAAAATTACTCGACTGCCATGTCCTCTCCGCTGGCGCAACGGTAGAGAGTCTGCTTCGCGTGGGGGAGATCGGAGTTCGAATCCTGCAGGCTGGTACTTTCTTCATGTCGATTTCTCACGAGGTATGTGTATGGTACTCTGATAATTTGTTCCTGCTACATGTCTGACATTGTTAATTGTACTGCCAGGGTGTATATTCATACGTAGTCCTCAGAATATGGTTGTCTGGAGCAATGTCAGTAAATGTAAATAAATCGTATGTGAAGCTAAAGGGAAAATTTTTATCGACTTTATTTTAAAGGTGGCCATCGGTGGCTCATCGATGCGCCACCGGTGCCAATGGGCAGTTATTGGTGGAAGAAGAGTTTTTTTAGTAGGGTGGCCATAGGCAGGTTATAGGTGGAACATAGGCCGGACACGCCATCGATGCCGCATCGATGCGTCATCGGTGCTCCACCTATACTGTAATTTCCACCTGTAGCCACTGATAATCATCGATGCGCCACCTTAAATTTTTATTTGGGACGTCACCCATCACACCCAACACGTCACCCATCAGACCCAACACGTCACCCATCACACCAACACGTCACAGATCACAACCAACACGTCATTCATCACACTCAACAAGTCACCGTCACACCACTAGGGAACTTCACCCACCGTTCCTGACGTGCCATTCCTCGTCCTCCGTTAGGGCGGCGAGCTCGGCCACCGCCTCCGCGTGGTCGGGGCAGCGCGCGACGCAGTCCATCACATCAGCGGCGGTGACGCGGGCCTCCCTCAGGGCCTCCTTCAGCTCCCCCCACCGCCGCGTGAGGTGGCGGGGGCTGTCCCTGCTGAGGGCCGCCACCACATGCAGCAGCACCTCCCGCAGCCTGGGGGATTACAAGTGGGTGGGGATTCATTGGGAGAGTCAAGCCTGTACGTCGTCTGCAGCTTATGAAATACTTTGGTTTCTTGTTTGTATAATGTTAATAAATGTGGCATGCAGCTCATGCCATCAGAGCGGCCTGCAGCTCATGCCATCGGAGCGGCATGCATCTCATGCCATCGGAGCGGCATGCATCTCATGCCATCAAAGTAATACAACAATAAGTAGAAGGGTAAATGCAAGAGTAAGTAGGAAGGGAAATACAATAGTAAGAATTATGGTAAATACAATAGTAAGTAAGTAAATACAATAGTAGGTATGAGGGTGAAAACAATATTAAGTAGGAGGGTAAATACAATAGTAAGTAGTAGGATTAATGCAACAGTAAGTAGTAGGATAAATACAATAGTGTCCGGTGATCTATAACCATCTAGGTTATCATACGTCACCCATCTTATAGCCTGTTATATGTACCCACATGGTAGAGTCACGCTCAGTGACGTCATCCCTGTTAAGGCCTATGTATATATCTTGATCTATGCACCGCTCGTCAGTCGTAGCAGAAATGCCTAGCCGTCACCTTGCTAGCCGCTCATCCAGCACGTACTTGTGCTGTGCCTGTCAATCACCTTTCTTCTGTACACACCGAGCCACTTTATTATTATATTAGATCTAGCGTTACCGTGCGTTTCACTTTTCCTGCCTTAGTCATACTTGGAACAACAAAGTATCATGACTCTCAGTAAAATATCTATCAGGTGGTCGTAGAAACAGACACCTGACAATAGTAAGTAGAAGCAAGACAATTTCCAAACGCATTATAAGTTAGTTAGTTCATCACTTCGATTGCCACTTACATGCCAACCCATGCAGTAAACACTAGAGTTATAGGTATGACTGGCCATGTCCACCAACAGGAGCGAATGACGAAGATTGTTCACAGGACTGACACAATAATACCGTCAAGCAAGCAATTCAAATGATAATACGAGCTACAAGTCTAACAAATACTGAGCTTTTGAAATAATTGTCCGAAATTAAATCAAATGAAAGTACGCCAGAGACCACAACCATAGGGAATAATATTTCTATTTTACTGTACGGGCTGCAGCTGGCTCAAAACTAAGCCCAAAGTTTCACTGACGCAATAAATATTAAGTCTAAACTAGATATCAACTTATAAATATCTGATTAACAGTAGACTACAGCTGCACGATACCTGAATTTCTGGGCCTACCTTTCATTCTCCGTTGACTCCACTCCCAGGATCTCTTGAAGAGTATCTTCAGTGAGCATCATCTGCCTAGCAACATAGTTTGCTGCCGCAGTTTCTTGGACGGACTTATGCGGGAAAGAATAAGTCGTGTCCTTGCTTCCTGACCGCGATTTCTCCACTACAAGCATGGTGTTGATAAGCACTTCAGTAGCTACTTCAATATTCGAAGTGTTAACTTTTATCTTGTCGCAGCAATGTTCCTTCAAGATTAAGATTTCGGCGGAGGTGAAGGTAACATGATTGCAGGCAAGGAACTCCAACGCCCACTTGCCAATGACTCTCAAAAGTTTTTCAATGAGAATGTCTGGATCAGTGACACCGATATCGCTCAGCTTTGTTTTCAAGACGATCTTTTGAAGCGTAAATCTGTCCATTAACATATCGCTCGAGCTTCTAAATTTATCTTTTTTTTCTGGAGTTTCTTTAAAAATAGAGCAGAAGTACAGCAAAAGAATTGGTTCTGTGAATAATGATTGCACATCCGGGTCTAGATTGGAAAACAGTTCACGCATCGCTAGTGCGGCATCACTGCACTTGGTCAGATGGAATCTATATTTTTCGATAAAATCCAGCTGCTTTCCTAGCTCTGTGATTGGCAAGATCTTGCACTCCTCAGAAACCTTGCATTTCTTTCTCAACAAGTTCTTGAGATCTTTGACAGCCCAAGGACAAGTCGTAATGAGAATGCGGGAGTGCTGGTGCCATGTTTTATCCAACAGCTGTTGCAACACAGCCAACGACACTTCGTTGTATTCATCGAATCCATCAACCAGGAACAGCACGCGGAGATGCTGGAGAGTTCGCAAAATATCTTCTGCTGTCATGTCCGCGCACGAAACTCCAAAATGCCATTTGACAACTTCCTCCAAATTTCTATTATGTCTGTCCCTGCACTGAATGAACACGATGATTTCAAAGCATTGGAGATAGTTTGGGACGTCAGACTGAGGACCAGAAAATTTAAGCATTAGGTACATGAGTAGGGTGGTCTTCCCAGCACCAACATTGGCAGAAACAAGTGCGATTCTTTCTTTCAATGAATCAAATAACTGCTGAAGCGTAAGTTCATTTTTTCCCTCTTCCTTTAACGTCAGGTTGAGTTGATGAAACACAGCCAGCCTTTCAACGCAGCCAGCATCGAAAAGTAGATCTTCTTTTGCGTACTCCTGGAAACGTTGATTGGCAATTTGCCTGCCCTTTGTAGTGACGCAGTAGCAGTAATAAGCCAGATCTCTCCCACCAGGTGAAAACCCACCAAAGGCTGTCATCTTGCCGTTAACCCTGCACACGAAACACGAGCTTGGTAACACGTATGAATTATTATTAATCACAGCCCACATTCTAAATAAACATCTTCCACCCACGGTCCAGTTCATATGATTGGCGCGTCAACTAATCAATGAATTGGTTATTGGCTGCTGGACTTCAACATCGATCCAATTGCTAAGTGACTGACTCCAGGTCGTAAAGTCCGGAGATCGGGTTTTGAGTGCAGATCAGGTTTTGTACCGTGTAGATCAGGTTTTGAAGTTCATTCAGTAAATTGCAGTTACTATATTACTGCTTCAAATGATTAGAAAGACAAATTTTTCCCGTTAAAAAGAAAATATTAACTGTAACGTAATTCTCTTCATAATGAATATTCGGAACACATCTATACTTATGCTCGCACATAGAGAAAAATTTGCCTCTAAATATGAGTCATACGCGAAAATGGGTCGTAGTGACAATTTTTCTATCCCGGTCAGACATCGCCGCAGTCTGGAAGGTTCAGCTTCAGCATCGCCAACTTGTCTGCACCAACGCTCGCCCCAGCGCAACGCCAGGGGGTTAACAGCGCCGGAATGTCCACAACAGCCCAATATTGCGGCAGAGCTTCTCGGCCAGGAAAGGGCCTGCTGCCGCAGTCAGTCTGTCCTACCGCGAGCGACAAGGCCGACAGGCACTGCCAGCGTCCGCGCTATCGCGCAAGTGGTTGCCGCTATTGGCGGGACCGCTGCGCAAAATTCCCGCCGGCCAGGGATGGCCGAACGTGAATTTCGAGCCAAAAAAATCCCCACGCCCTCCACTTTATGTATAGCTCTCTTACTTTTTGGGGCTATACAGTATATAATAATTGTGGCGGGCATGGGGAATTATATAACAACGTATACCGACACAATTGTAAAGCGACATTTAATGCAGTCATTCTGAGATATGAGGTAAGAACAGGTATAACAAATTTCGACAGAAATAAAAATATTTACACGTTCGGGCCGATTATTAGAACCTTAGCTTGAGCACGCAAAGTTAATCGACTTGACGAGTCTAAGCTTTCGGTTCTACAGTCCACAAAACGATTCTGATATCTTGGTTGGAGAATCAAAAATTATAACCTCGAGTATAAGAACACGAGCAGCTGAAATAACACGTTCGTGTCAATATGCCCTAAAGTTGAAAATTTCAGTAAGAAAATGCCAGCAAAAATATGCTCGACGGTATGTTCTTAAATGTTGTCATTCCAAGTATTCCAACCGCCAAAGAGCTTTACTTTATGAGGCACTGGACCTTAAACACTAACGAAGTTGTGTTTCTAAAGATTCCTAAATTAACATGTTCAGCCTTTAGAAACTTGGTTGTTTTCTATTCGTTTGCATCGCAATTTACACCAAGGATAAACGCTAGAAACGAGGAGCATGTATCATCCGCACACGACAAAATGCACCTAACTACTGACAGCAGACAGTGGCACCAGAGCGTCGGCTGGTAGTGGGGGGTAGTGGGTAATCCCACCTTTGAACGGGAAGTATTATGGGGATTGTTTATCAGTCTTGCCTCGAGAGCGTGGGTTGTGAAGCTATGCGTATACAAGTAATTTGGGAGCGTTGCCGAAAAGACAATGCACGCCTGTTGCTAGAACGCGACTCACATATGTAGACATAAAAGTAACACAAGCGTGTTAAAGACAACGCAATGCATGCGTGTTATTGTACGTATTCCCCAAATAAAAATTAAAGGTGGCGCATCGATGATTATAGGTGGCGATGGTAGATTATCGGTGGCGTAACGGTGGGTGGCCACGCCAGCCAAAAACCATCATTGAAACGCTGCTAAATCGAGAGGATGTGCGAGCATAGGTGGCACTCATCGATGATTTATAGGGTGCTATTTATCGGTGGCTTAGTGCAGTTTCACCACGCGTGGCCATCTCTTAATAATTGATCAATAGCCACCAATGAAATAGCGTTCGAAGTTTGAATTATTAAATATTTTGACAACTGTATAAATCGTGAAGAAAAAACTGTGAATATACAAAAGATAATTGCGTATATGTATATAACGCGATTAGTCTTTTTTTAAGACGACCGTGAGTTTATTTCAATTTTGGTGTTCACATGATTACTATATAAGCTATTCTGCGATTTTATTATGATATTATGCTCTATGACGTATTTTATTCCAGAACGAAATTAGAAGCAAAATTTATTTATTTTGTTTCAAGTACGAAGTTATCATGCCATAAATAAGCTGTTCGCTATAAAAAAATCCTTAGAGAAATGAACCATCAAGAACTCGAAGATAATTCATAGATTGTATCGCCATTTAAGTGTTTAATTTAATGCTTACGAAATATACATAGTGCAATATTGTTGACCTCATCAGGTTGGAAATAAAATACAAAGTTTTTTATTGATTTGCTCAATAGTTGCGCAAGGCACGCATTCTCTGAAATATTTAGCAACGGCTGGTCAATGCATCAATACTTATGTCTCATTCATAAACGGGCAGTTGGAATAAAATAAAATATATGTGATGGCGCTGAAGCAATAGGCCCAAGGCCTTCTAAAGTTTAAGGCTTCAGAGGATTGTGTAACTTAGGTTTCTCCAGATGACCTATTAATTTTTAAATTTAGGTCACATATGAATTGAGGGAGCTACAATAAAAGCTGATTACTTGCCAAATTAGCGTTTTTAAGATTCAATCAGGACCGAAACGACGCAAAAATATGTGATAATCCCTACCGGGACATATTTTTATTAAATAACTCTAATTTAAATTTCATACAAATTCCTTCAAAATGGGCAAGTTTTGAGAAGAAAATCTTGTGAGTTCGCTGGTGAGTTAGGAGGAATGTCTATTGGGTAAAACTAATTGATGGTTCGAATTAGCTGTTTGATCATCAGAGATAATGAAAGTTATCCTCGTATCACGAAAAGATTTTCCATGGTTTTGTAAAAGGCTTTAATGCATTGTGTTATATAATGATAAAATTATTATGCTTCTACTTGAGTGTTTAATTTGAAATCAATGCGTAGTCTTCTCAGTATTGGCGCCTCTGCATATAGTGTAGCAACAATATCGCCGCTTAATTTTGCTGATTATTCGTTATGTAGTTTGTCTAAGCTGATTCTTTGATGTTCCTTCACATCCATTACTCCGAAAATTACTTGAATGATGCATTAATATTTGTATATATAGCATTTTGAAAATTACTCATTTTTACAGCTTGAAATCAATGTAAAATGTTCATTATATAATATGATTTAAATAAAGCTAAAGTAGGTTCTCTTTTGACTACTTTCGGCAGTCCCTCGCTTGACTTCAGATTGTAGTTAGTCATGGTGCATCATGTAGGAAGTGGTGCAACGTCAGTCTCGAGCCGAATTAAGTCTAAATTCTCGATAAAACTTTAAGTCTGCTCATAAATGAATTACTTTTTTGTGTTTATTTAAGAAATAACGTGACTATGCTAGACCTGTAAATTTCTCAAATAATCAATTGAAGTTCTGGACTTCTGGTGCAATATTCTGTTCTGGACTTCTGGTGCTGGCCGGTGACGCCACTGTCGATGTGTTTAAATAAACAATTAGGCTATTCAACATAGCTTACTTCGAATGCAAAATCGAATGGGATGTGGGTGTTTACTGCAAATTATTTAACTTACTTTTTACAATCAATTTTAATTTTTATGTATCCTATTCCTAATTTTAAAACAGTAAAGTATAGAAATATTATTTCGCGTATCCGACTCGCGGCCACGTCCGTGACTCATATCGCCGGCTGCCATGACAGATCCGACGCGGTGACGCCATAGCAAATATCAATTGTGTTTATACTTTCCTTTGTGTTGATATGTTAATCTGAGGCCTAAATTAAGATCTTTATAAGAATTGCAATGGGCGAGACTGGTCTGAGAATACCTGTATTTAAAAGATTCCTTAATTTTTAGCGTGCTCTCATGACTCATCCTCTTGTCAGGTCGTGTGGTCACTGGTCCCTAGTGATCATAGTGGCAACTGTTAAACCAGTGACTTTTTTAGAATCAGTTCATTTTTAATTTTCTCATTTACTCCAGATTTAAGCCAATATCTTATATAAATAAGTAAGAAGATGCTGGTATCCATGATATTTTAATGGTCTACTTAAAACTTATAAGTCTTAAAAATGAATTGAAGGAGAGCCTAAGAAACTCTTCGCTTTGGCCTTCGCCACTATGCCTAGTGTGGTATTTGATCAATATGGAGTGAAATTCTTGTAAATGTGTTTTGCATATTCTACATCAATCCAGCAAAGACATATCAAGGTCTTTTGCCATCTCCTAAAGATATACACTCAATGAATTATCCACTTCAATAAATGGCATAAGTCTCTATAAGATCACAATGTAAATGTTTAATGCATAAGTGAATCTGTTCCTCCATTCCACCCTCCACAAGTTCAAGCAGGCAGTGGCGAATAAAGTTTGATGTAAACTCTTGGTAAAAAATTTGTGCTGGTTCAGAGAAAGTATCTTACATATGCTCATCGCGCATCTGTGGTATGTTATGACCATTATTTCTAAAACCAAATTAGCCTATTACCTGCAATTTTAATTTCTAGTGTCTATGGGAGCAATGTCACTTTTTTGTCACTGCACTTGAAAGAAATCATAAAATAAATATAGACTACCGTATATAGTATATTTTATTTCTAATAGATTCATTTTTTTGTGCTTGATTGGTAAAGCCAATATTGAACATTTTTGAATGATAACATTAAATTCGTATGTTCAATCAAGTTACTTTGATATATTGTTATTACTCATGGGTTGTTGGCATCTTGATGCGATTGATGAATTTACTCAAATATCAAATATTGATTGAAGGAAAACAAGTATATTATAGAAGTATATAGGTCAACAGCATAATTAACTGAGTTAATTATGCTGTTGACATGGAAAAGTTAGTTTCTAAATGATTTGAATTTACTGAATTTTTTATTATTTTTAATTTTCGTGCTAGCATATTAGATAAAATTAATTTATAATTTAGAGCTTATGTTTTTAATGTTACTCAAATATAGCATGATAGCATCCAGTTTCTTAACAATAATAAAATTAGAGGTGATCAATTGATAGATAATATTTTCGGATTGTATTAAGCATCGAACAGAAACCTTACAGTGAACTGTCTACTAGGCAGAAACGACATAGAATTGTTGAAGCTGATGATAAAATAAATAAATAGTTGACAACTGAAACAGTTGTAAACTCTTTGTCACTTTTTTGTCACTGCACTTGAAAGAAATCATAAAATAAATCTATAATATATAGTATATTTTATTTCTAATAGATTCATTTTTTTGTGCTTGATTGGTAAAGCCAATATTGAACATTTTTGAATGATAACATTGAATTCGTATGTTCAATCATGTTACTTTTATATATTGTTATTACTCATGGGTTGTTGGCATCTTGATGCGATTGATGAATTTACTTATATATCAAATATTGAAAAGTGACAGTGTTCTGAGATGTCTAAAAATGCAATGTCTCTGTGTAAATATCGGTATACGATATCATCAACGGTCTTTTGTTCAACAGGAGTGGATGTCAAAGTTTAAGTTTAGGTTCGAACACCAACTTACGCACGCACGTGTTCGATTGAGGAATCGATTATATGTATATAGCAGCCGAAACATGGTCGTAAGTAGCAGGCGGCCCCTCGTTTGTAAACAACCTTAAAGTTTCGCGCAAATTATCGCTGATGGTCGCAGAGCGGCCCGTCCATCGCCTCCCGCCGACGAGCGCAATATCGCCGAGATTTGGGAGAAGCGGCCAATCTGCCGTTGCGCGCTCATAATCTCCCCCCACGCCGATAAACAACTGCGCCACGGCCTTAAATTTTAACTGGGAGCAAGGGTTTTTCAAGGCTTCTCTGAAGACGATACCTTTATAACTTCTTCTGACGCGAACCTAGCTGGAAGCGTGTTTATGGTAGCTAGCTGAATCCTCTAGTTGGTCAGTAGCACCTGATCGTGCACCTGTAGCTTTCACGATTGCTGCTGTGGTTTCAGCACGCGGGACATGTTTGCTTACTTCAATTAGTGGGAGTTATAGTTTTCTAGTTAATTCCGATGCTTTCCTATGATTACCCCCAGTGGTCATTAACTGTTCTTCATAGTTTGGTGCTCGCTCCAAGACCTTGAATTTCAGCCTCCTACCTATTTGGATTAGCAGCCTTTCAACCGTGAGTGCATGTCATTAGGAACTTAAGTGACCACTAGTTTGGCCTCTATTTTCTACGCAATATTTTGTACACGCGACTGCACCTGCATCAAATACCCGCGTTTTCGCTCCCCTCCCAAACGACCCGAACTCCGTTTCCGTTTTCGGGCCGTCGATCCCCGTCAGAGACTTGCCCCCCCCCCACTTCTTCCTCTGCTGTGAGCGGGGGGGTGTTGGGCATCTCCCCTTGCGGCTTGACCCCACATTGCCCCCCGCCCCCTGGTGGATCCTTTGCCGCTCCAGGGGCCAACAGCTGCCGGCCCCGGGCGAGTCCCCCTTGCGCCACAGGAGGCGAACCACCGAGCAAGGACGACCCGAACTCTTAACGATCTCGTTTGCCATCATCATCATCGTCGCATCACCCACCTTCATCGTAATCTGCACCCATTCACCAACCATCATCAACTGACTGCTCGAGATCCCAAACTTACCGGATCTAATAGAAAAACTCGACCCCAGAATACCAACGCACCAATGTAAAATTTTCCAGAATACCTGCAAAGAACTCCCGTTCCCCCATAATGCAGGGACGCTATTTCCGTGCAAGAAAACAACACCCTGAAAAACAAGACTCAACAGAAGAACCAAACAAGACGTAACTGCAACGATATCGCTGCAAAAACTTGGTCTCAATACTCTTCCGAGCACGCATTTCCTGGTTGATTCAACGCTCGTTCAAGACGTTGTATCCATGTTGAATTCTAGTCCAAATGAAAATTGAATCAACGTCATTCCAGCAACGTCGTCTTGACTTTACATTTCAGCGTTGATAAGGTTGGATTTGATATTGAATCAACGTTGATATCACGTTGATGTACGAATGGATTGCATTGTACATATTTTATCGTGGTATGAGCACCCTATTACAATTAACTGCATAATTAAATATGGATATTTTTTGACCAAATCTATTCACTTATGGAGAAGAACTGCAAGATATCCAATTATATTTGCCTGTATTTCTTAAACTTTTTTTTATTTCTCACTTGTAGCTGATTGAATTTATATAGATTAATATTGAGGATCTTGCTTATATATATTATTGATAAGCAGGGTTATTGTACGGCACGTTTGTTAAGAGTTCCCGAAAACCGTGTCGCGGTATTGTTCGATCAAAACGTCACTCATACTTTCGACAATTGCGCGACATTTTTGGCTTATTGTGTGACAAAATGTCGCACAATTATCGTCTCGGAATGTACCAATGTCGTAGAATCTACCTATGATTAGTATTTGCTAATAGTGCGACACGAAAAAAGATGAACTCTATTATACGACATGCTAATTTAAGAAAATCTTGTTAGGTTAGGGTTAGAGTTAGGGTAAGAGGCGTGAAAAAAGCTTTTTTAGACACTTTTTTTCCAATTTTACTAAGATTAGGTCCAGCCAGGAAAGGTTCTTTTACCTTAAATAACTAATTGAAAAACGTGAACTAATAACTGTCGCGGTATTACTAAGTATATATATATATATATATATAATATATATAGTCAAATATGAATATATGCTACCTCCAAATGAAGGACCTAAGAACCATAAGCAGGAGGCTCACAACGAAACCTTCACTAGCGCGACGTTGGACGCCTGCACCTGCATCATCATGCGGTGCCCCGAGTCTGCACCAGCATCATCATGCGTTACCCGATGCCTGCATCAGCATCGTCAAGCGATACCCCGACACCACAAAACTGGCGATAGCGGAGGCTCTCATCATCAAGGACGAGTTTCCTGCTATCAATTTATAAGCCACCGGATTTGTCAGGATGTTGAAATTATTCTTGGATTAATTTTAAGTTTTGATTTCAAACCGTATCTAAGATACCCTTTGTATGCACATATGTCATATCCAAATTTTAAATTTCAAGTGCTTTAAAACTCTTCCCTCACTTGAGAATGAATATTGAATATAGACGACGTCATATTCCAGTAAAGTCATTTGGAAACCTGCTTTTCGATCTCCAATCACAAGCAAGTAATGTTATTCGGCTTATGTAAAAAAAACAATAATAAAATTGCTTATGGAAAGCATGCTTTGGTCCTCAATCAAACTTGCATAAGTGACGAACTTCTGCTTAATTACTCATATATGAATTAAATTCACAAGGAACAAACACTCAGTACTTCAGACTGATGTCAGAAGCTACCCGAAGCTCGACGAGCGTATCAATCGTGAAGAACAGGAGGCTGAGCAGACCAACACTCTCCACTTGCGTAGCAGAACAACACTCTCCACTTGCGTAGTAAAACAACACTCCCCACTTGCGCTCCCCACGACACGAACAACAGTTCACCACGAGCGAGCTGAGCGTTGTAGAGAGAGCTTCCGTTATAAATGCTACATATTGACGTACAACTTCCACTTGTCGTTCGGTTGCCAGCCAACCGAACGCAAACAACTTCTTGACGGCGGCGCTATTGATCGCTTGACCGACCTTGAATTACTAACACATCTGCTTCGGCGGTACGCCTAAAATGTGTCGGTAGCTAATCAATATCTGATTTAAAATGAATGCAATCGAATTTCTGCCAAGAATTTCATCAATGAATCTAAAAATCAAATGGATTGGATCGCACTGATATTGTTTTGCTACGATTAAAATATCGGTAATGCTGGATTACACTTTTGATGAATTGTCTGGATTCTCCACATTAAAAATTCATAATTGTTGTGTTCATATTATCCAATTCAATATTCCAGTTTCACCATCCGGACAACTTGATTATGGTTAAGAGAATAATTATTATAAAGCTTTCACACCGTTAAGAAGACCGGATAATCGTGATAAGAATCTCAAGCAAACTGTCGTATATAGTATTGGCAATTATACATAAGGTGAAAAATTTTACCGAGATTAGAACTTGGCGCGCATAACCTCGAAACGCTTTCACGCTATCCTTCCCGTCCATCCCTTAGTGCAATAAAAATTTTTTATTTATTTTATGAATTAACCTTAAAACTTAGATTTCTACTCCGTTTATGATGTTCACATTTACACGCACGTTACCTTTTATTATTGATTTATATTTTATTATTTATTATATAGTATTATTATTTATTTATTACGTTCACACACGTTTCTTTTTATTGATTAACGTCTACGTTGATTTGCGTTGCTTTGAGTGTACATCAACTGAATGGCTGCGTTGATTTGTGTTGCTTTGAGTGGACATCAGCTGAATGTCTGCGTTGATTTGCGTTGCTTTGAGTGGACATCAGTTGAATGTCTGCGTTGATTTGCGTTGCTTTGAGTGGACATCAGTTGAATGTCAGCGTTGATTTGCGTTGCTTTGAGTGGACATCAGATGAAACTCCATATCTAAGGAAACGCTTAGCGTGGTTCCTCTAGTACTACAGGCATCTGGGTCAAACACTGAATGATGCGGCGCATTTGAAATTAATTGCGTCTAGTAGGCTAATTCTGTTGCTGCAAATTCCAGAGAATGTGGAAAATGGCGGCTACATATACTTTCTCAGAGCTGTTATTAATTGCCAGTAGTCGGATATTTGCTAACTCCTATATTACAAACATGTTATATACGTTCCAAGAGCTATGATTAATTGTCAGTAGTAGGATATTTGCTAACTCTTATATTATATACTGTACCTGTCAAGGCTGTCATGTACACGTTCCCTGAGCTGTGATTGCCAGTAGTGGGATATTTGTCCGAGAGCAGTTTGTTCATATAAATCCTCATGTGTTTACCGGCAGACCAGCAGACCTAGTTAGCTACGAGTCCACTGTGTCACTGAGAGCTTGTCTCAGACGCTGAGTTGACAGCTTATAAAGCATATATGTCACGAGTGCAAGGACTTGTGGGCGGAAGTACAAAGTCTATAAATGGGCAGAGAACCTTAGTAAAGCCTTGCAGAAGCTAACAAACGCGCCGAAATGTAACTAGCGTTAGAGTTACTCCGCCCAAACGGGTCGACGTTCTAGCCTATACCTGCATTAAAACTCTCGTGTATTATCACCCCGTATACTGTGCTGTAACTCTCATGTATTACCACCACGTATACTGTACTGTAACTCTCATGTATTACCACCCCGTATACTGTAATATAACTCTCATATATTACCACCCCGTATACTGTACTGTAACTCTCATGTATTACCACCCCGTATACTGTACTGTAACTCTCTTGTATTACCACCCGTATACTGTTGCATAACCCTCATGTATTACCACCCCGTATACTGTTGCATAACCCTCATGTATTACCACCCCGTACACTGTAATATAACTCTCATGTATTACCACCCCGTATACTGTAATATAACTCACATATTACCACCCCATATACTATAATATAACTCATGTATTACCATCCCGTGTACTGTAATATAACTCACATATTACCACCCCGTTTACTGTAATATAACTCATGTATTACCATCCCGTGTACTGTAATATAACTCACATATTACCACCCCGTTTACTGTAATATAACTCATGTATTACCATCCCGTGTACTGTAATATAACTCACATATTACCACCCCGTTTACTGTAATATAACTCATGTATTACCATCCCGTGTACTGTAATATAACTCACATATTACCACCCCGTTTACTGTAATATAACTCATGTATTACCATCCCGTGTACTGTAATATAACTCACATATTACCACCCCGTTTACTGTAATATAACTCATGTATTACCATCCCGTGTACTGTAATATAACTCACATATTACCACCCCGTTTACTGTAATATAACTCATGTATTACCATCCCGTGTACTGTAATATAACTCACATATTACCACCCCGTTTACTGTAATATAACTCATGTATTACCATCCCGTGTACTGTAATATAACTCACATATTACCACCCCGTTTACTGTAATATAACTCATGTATTACCATCCCGTGTACTGTAATATAACTCACATATTACCACCCCGTTTACTGTAATATAACTCATGTATTACCATCCCGTGTACTGTAATATAACTCACATATTACCACCCCGTTTACTGTAATATAACTCATGTATTACCATCCCGTGTACTGTAATATAACTCACATATTACCACCCCGTTTACTGTAATATAACTCATGTATTACCATCCCGTGTACTGTAATATAACTCACATATTACCACCCCGTTTACTGTAATATAACTCATGTATTACCATCCCGTGTACTGTAATATAACTCACATATTACCACCCCGTTTACTGTAATATAACTCATGTATTACCATCCCGTGTACCGTAATATANCATATTCACCCCATATTCACCCCATATTCACCCCATATTCACCCCATATTCACCCCATATTCACCCCATATTCACCCCATATTCACCCCGTCTTCTCCACGCCCCCGACGCTCGCCGCTGTTGCCCTGCACGGCGCGGGCGCGTATATCTGCTGCCGTCTTCTTGTCAGGGAAATGCCGTACGGGAAATACATTATATTCAGGACACAAGTCGTGATTATTTGTATAGCGTACACCACTTGTCAGGGAAATGCCGTACGGGAAATACATTATATTCAGGACACAAGTCGTGATTATTTGTATGGCGTACAACATTTTGTATGCATTTATACAAACAGTGACCGCGTATTTGCTTCAGCACACAGAAATGTTCCGTCAAACAGCCGCATGTCCCACAGCAGAAGGTGCAAGTTTATAGTTATTAATAAAATATAAATAAATTGCCATACAAAATATTCAATGACAATAGGATGGAAAAGTCTGCTGTATATGTGAAGACTATATATCAACATCACAGAGTGATTCTTTTATAAACAGTCATGACATGACATTCAATACTGCAGCACCAGCACGGCAACAGCTGCAGCATCAGCACGGCAGCACCTGCAGCATCAGCACGGCAGCACCTGCAGCATCAGCACGGCAGTACTGAAATTTACGCTAAAATAAATAAATTTATTCTGTACTATTATCAACTGAAATTTACAGTGAAGTAAATAAATTCATTATACAATATTATCAATTGAAATGAAGCGCTAAAGTAAATAAATTTATTTTATAATATTATCAACTGAAATTTAGGCATATGAGGCGCATTGTCACATGATGTGCCCGCCATGAGCCTAATCTTACGAAATTAATTATTGTTATTCTTTCTTTGTCACTAAGTATATTGTACTGTACTATAGTAATAAGATGTAGTTGTACTGCGATGAATTTGATTAGTTCAACACACTCAAAGAAATGAGTTAGTCTTTGTCTATGTCTATACTGCAATGCAACGTTTACCCTTGCATGGGTCATCCTGACTCACTTTGGCCTGGCATAAGAAGCAATCATCGCTACTTCATTTCACTGCTCGTGCTGTGGGTCGAACGCCCCTTAACTATAAGGGCCAAGCTACCCAATGAAAAATGTGCAATGCATGTCCACACAAATGGCTATGACCGACGTGTCCGACGGCAATCAGACGTCTCATTCTTTTCGTTATAATTGAGACGCTATTTACTTGACGTTGTAGAGATTGATAGAAAAGTACTAAACCTGCGTCTGGGCAACATCACGTGACACATCACGTGATCAAGCCTTTTTTTATTTGTAGGCGAAAGCCCTGACTATTAGTCAGGTGAGTAAAAAAAAGGGCTGGGAACCTTAGTAAGCCCCCCAGTAGCTGACAAGTCCGCACGCCGCGATGTGATTCGCGTTAGAGCTACTCCGACCTAACGGTCGACGTCTTAGCTTAACCTGTATCGTACCTCTGTATTATATTATATTAGCTTTATTATTATTATAAATTATATATTATTGTATTATATTAGCTTTACCTGTATTGTATCTCTGTATTACCACCCCGTATCAAGATAAGTTCTCTAGACAGATGGTGCCTTAATTACTTATCCCTCGCGCACTTAGTCCCGTGTCCCTATCCTCAGGTGGCGCCTAATATAGCGTCTGACAGGCGCCACATAGGGCGTCCAGGATCACACCTCAGCCACTCACCAACAGCCCTCGCCACTCACCAACAGCCCCCGCCACTCACCAACAGCCCCCGCCACTCACCA